GCATATATAAGTTCCTTACTTTAGCAACTTATGTGGATAAAAATATTGGGGAGGGGAGATGAACTAAAACACTAATAAACTGGTTTTAATTGTAATTTAGTTGGGTGGGAAATGACAGAAATGATGATTTTTTTAGAGATTTATATAAACAGCATGCATTCAATGGTAATTTAACCCCTGTTGTTGTCCTAGTCTAATTTAAGGTTAGTTATCATATTTAAGCCTGATCTCTTGCCCAGTTAGGCCATAGGCAGGTATGGGAGGGAAAATTTCCATTCTCTCTCCACCGTTTTATCCCCAGAACCACAATCTTGATACTTAAATCCTATCTTAGCCAAGATGATGAACCTTCCTGATGCTTTAAAAGTGCACCATCTTCTGAATGACTCTGTTCCGGAAATATCAATTAACATAGCCATGCTTTTATAATCAGCGATAAAGCTACGCCAGGAAACTACCAATGAGTAATTGTTTTATGCAATACTATGCAATATTATGCAGTTGGTAAAATGCTCAGCTCTATATGTATGGCTCTATATGGTTTTAAATGTATATTTCCTTTTTTATAGTAATCCTCTTTTAAGATACTTTTATGCCAATAAAGGTTAACGGAACTGAACTGAACTGAAAGGGAAATGTATCCTTTACATTAGACTTCTTTCTCTCTTTTCAACTGCAATCTGAATGTGAACTGGATCTACTTTGAATAAATGTAAGTTTTCTTTTTTATATATATACAATACAGTTCTTGGGAGATTTATTTACTGCACTCAGTATCATGCTTCTATGACTGGGTAAAATTATGCTATATTAACCACATATCAACCACATATCCCAATACAAAGGAGGTAAGTTTTGGCTGGAATTCAGTGTGCAGATCTTGCAGAAAAATTCAAGGAGGGTTTCTGAGCTGCATACTTCAAAAGAAAGTGATGCTGTCACAGTTCCTGGTTGTATACCCTGATGTGCATTGGGAACTTAACTTACCAAGATACATCCAAAGCACACCCATTCTTTAGTACCTGTAATGTTTCAAATTTAATCAGAATCATTGGATTCATGATGTTAGATCCAGCTGCCATATCACCACTCCCCTGCAAACTACACTCTACACCTCACATGGCATTCGGACATGCAGGTCTCAGAATCCCCAGCATATACTTTTCACCAGCAGGTCCAACCTATGAACATTTGATCTAAATGATATTCTGAAACAACTAGATCTAATTTCAGTTTCCTGGGTAAATACTATCTATATTATTTGGATTGGTTTCCTTTGGATGAGAGAGCACTAGAAATTTATTACATTTTGTAATATTTGCTTTATTTACAAACAAACACATACCAAAAAAAAATGGAAACAAAGAAGAAGTACTCCTAAAGGGAAGAAGATCTGTAACCACACATCAGTAAGAGGGATGCTGTATCCTGAAGTACTTCATTAAATTCCCAGCAGTGTCTGTCTGCTTCTTTCATTCCCCCAGAATCTAAATTGCTGTTTCTTCATGTACACAGGGATGCAGAGTACAGTGCAATCAAAATTTCCACTAGCGAAAAATGTAAGCTGGGATCCCCTTTGGGATTCTAGTATGCTGGGACCATGTGACCTGCCTGAACAAAAAAAACATTTTGAATCAAGGACTGAACATGAAGAACTGGGTAAGATGGAGTTAAAAAGGCTGGCTGGATCCAGCTCATACAGGTGCTTCCTCCCTTCAGTGAGGAAGGGACTTGACACCTCCCTCCAAGTATTGCTGAGTGCCATTTCCTAACAATTAAAGCCCATTAAGGAGATATCAACTATCGTTTTATTAGAGACTCTGGTTCCCTCTAAGCAGGCCACTGTAGGCCAAAACTATATAATATGTTTGTTCACATTAAACAGATTCCAAACTCACAAGAATATTATTTGTAGTGTTTCAATCTAGCACATGTCAATTCTAATTATATGACATAATATTATGTGAATTAGCATTGTGCATTAAGTACACACTCATTATGCATTTCAATGTGAGTTTTATTGTAAGAGCAAAAAGCAAACAAAAAAAATGTATAGTACAGTAGCAAACTGGATCATGTGCTGGTTGAAAAGGACCTAAAACCCAAAACTTTTGCCATGGCTTTTTTGATCTCCTTGTTTCTTATACTGTAAATCACAGGATTCAACATGGGTGGAACCAAGGAATAGATTACAGCAAATACCAAATCCAGCTGTGATGGAGTGTTAGAGACAGGCTTCAGATAGGCAAAGCATGCAGTGAATAAAAATGTGGAGCAGACAATGAGATGGGGAATGCAAGTGGAGAAAGCCTTTTGCCGTTCCTTCATTGAAGACAATCTTAGCACAGTAGTGAAAATGTGTATGTAAGTTACAAGGATATACACAAAACAGCCCAGGCCAAGGAAAATTCCAATCCCAACAGTAGTCATTTCAATTAGATTTAGTTCAGAACAAGTCAATTTTATAAGCTGTGGGATATCACAAAAAAATTGATTAACAACGTTAGAACAGAAATGGGTTGCGAAAGTCCCACTGGTGTGCCATCCAGCATACAGAAAACCGGCGACCCATACACCAACAATCATTTCACTGCAGACATGCCTATTTATTATCATCTCATAATGTAATGGATTGCAAATGGCCATATACCGGTCATATGCCATGACTGTGAGGACACAGAAATCGGATGCTGCGAAGGAATGAAAGAAAAAGACTTGAGCAACACACCCTGAATATGAAATGTGCCTGGTATTCAGGAGGGAATTGATCATGGATTTGGGGACAGTGACTGAAATTTGACCAAGGTCCTGCATGGCCAAGTTCATCAATAAGAAGTACATGGGGGTGTGCAGGTGGTGGTCTAAGGCTATTGAAAAGATGACGAGGAGGTTCCCTGTCACCGTGGCCAAGTACACCATCAGAAAAGCAATGAAGTGTAGAAACTGCAGTTCCCGAACCTCTGAGAATTCCAGGAGCAGAAAATCGGACACAGTGGTTTTGTTGGACATGTTTGACTCTGTTTCATGATGTATAATCCTTGAAGGGGGAGGAGCACACAAAGGAAACTGTAAGAATTACCACCCTGCTTCTCTTGCCAAGTCCTGAAAGCTTGCATACTGTTTTGATTGCCTAGCAGTGACCACTAGTGGCATGACTGAGTAGCATGTTCTATAATCCTTGAAGAAGGAAAACTGTCTTACCTACAATAGAAAAATGGCTAGTCAAAGTGTTGGACCTTGCATAAATGGCCAAACTTACACTTTAAATGGAAAGGTGATATATTTTCCTTGGTCTGATTTCGGACTAAGGTGGTAATGAGTAAATGTTTGGATTCCTGTAGTAGAAAAAATCAGATATTATTCCTTTATTCTGCTTTCAGTTGTATTAGTTGGTTTAGTTTCTACTTTTTCTCGTGTTACTTTATTCTACCTTGTTTCTTCTTTTTTATTTCATGTATAAAAACCTATATAAAACTCAGATTTAAAAAAGAAGAAACTGTCAAAATCACAGTCTCTTATTGTGTTTTAACTGGTGTCATAGAATTGGATTCTGATGAACATATTTCCAGTCCCATCACTTAGTTCCTGTTTTCAGTGTGCAAGAACAATCTCATTGAACTCCAGAGTAGCACCTCTATCCCATAATCTCCCTCCAAGTAATCCTGGTTTAGGTAAAACTGCAAAACAAATATTTAAGGAGCCTGCCATGTTTGAGAAATTAATGCAGTAATTTTATGTACTGCATCTGGGGTGTGTGAATGAAGCATGCATAATGAGCATTGCTGTGAGAGACATGATTGATTTTATAAGGCTAGGGAGAAGAATTGAAAAACTGATAAATTGTTTTTAATTGCACTGTGGTTGGGTGGGAGATGGGAAAAATTATGTGATCTAGCAGTCCAGGGCATCCATATGCAGAATCCACATTAGATAATATGCTATGACTGTGATGGAGTAAGATGCACTTTCACCCTAAGAATCGTACCTCTAGTCCAGATAATAGTCTGAAATCAGCCAGAACAAACTAAGGTTGAACCCAAAGTTTTAGTTCTAGTCATGGGTGCAGCCTTCTTCTGATGCAAGGTGTCTTCCATCAGTGGAGGTGATATATTCCACTCGTGCAAAGCTCCTTGTGCCAGAGGATACAACTATAAGAATATGCAAAAAGGTTGAGATGAAAGGAATAAACTGCCTGAGTATAGCAGCACCATTGAAAGGTGTATATCAGCAAAATAGTCTGTCTTGTTACTCTTGCTGTTAGATTTCCATAAGCAACTTACTCTTTTTCTTTATGGAGTTCTTTGAGGTCCAGATGCAATCTGTTCTAGACCACTGTACCTTGCAGTCATTCACGTATCTTAGTCCATCACTGGCACTGCCTCGCTACCTGTCATTAATATGCCTCACTACCTGTCATTAAGCAGTTGTCCCCATGGGGCAAAATTTAATTGATACATATATTATTTGTGTTCTCGGAGCCTTACACTTGGGAAGTAAAAGCATACAGAGAACAGTTGACTGTTTGCACATTAGAGACTTTCAGTAGCTCCATTGTTCTTCTGATATCTGGTTGATGTAAGCAATAAAGTTAGGGAATTTTAGAATCTGGAATTAATGTTGTTACAGGGGCCGTCCGATCGACGGGAATTCATTTTTTAAGATTACACCCACCACCCCTGTATTTCAGGAATATTTGAGCAACAGCATGCCCTTCCATCCTCTTGGCACCACTGTCAGGAAAAGGAGACAGGATATGGGCATGTTCAGGGAAGGGAAAGAAAAAGTAGTGGGGAAGGGGAAAATGAAAATGCAAAATGCAAAGAGCAAGCCACTGTAGAAATGGAAATACACAGTGCTTTATTTCCTTAGGAATGAAAAAACAAAACAAAACATTGGGTCAGCTCCAGACACCTTTCTACAGAGCCACCCCATGTGGCCTTTTCAATGGACCTTTCCCCCCTTGAAGTTCCCATGATCCATAGCCTTTTTAAGTAGTCCAAGGGAACTACTCTGTCTTTTTTCACCAGCAGAAAAGCACTGGGGCTCTAAACCATGGTGACCTCTTCAGAAACAGGTGCAATTTCTTTGTTGCTACAAATGACAGCTTATCATGTTTTTCATTTTTTTCCGCTTTGGGTGAACAAATGCAATTATGTACAAGATATTAGGGTTTTTCAAGTCATACTACATTTCTAGAATTATTCCTCAATGTAGTGAAGCAGGAAAGTAATGTGGCAAAAAGAACTAGAGTGAAGGAATTAAACTGAAAATATACTATGGCTTCATTCAGACATCAATAGAAGATTCATTGATACATGCACAGTCTCAATGCAACAGAGTAAATAGTGCCTCCTAGGGGTGTTTGGGGTTGGAAAAACAGTGTGGTGGAGGCTCAAACAACTCCCCCCCCCCCATGTCACGTACCAATCTAAATCAGGTCCATCTTGTTGGAAAATGTGGTAAAAATAGTTAAATATTCAGAGTTTGCAATGGATATTTGTTCACTAGAGAGGAGGCATTTTCTTTCTAGGTAAAAATCTTTATTTCTAAAGGGAAGGGTACATGGGAAATCTACAAAACAACAAACAAGACTACATGCTTTCAACAACAGACACACAGATAGTAATTGAGATTCTTCTTTCTTCGTGACCCCTAGAAGGAAATCACCTGAATGCATTAACCAATGATTGTTAGTCAATAGGTTCAGTTTCCCAGGCCATCTCTCCATTGGCTCTGTGCCAGGTTCCCTTCCAGTTCAGGCTGAACAGTAGGACACAAGATTAACACATTAACCCTATAACGAGTTAATTTAGACCTTGCAACACATGTATTTCCAACACCTCTGAGATGTCCCTGAACATATATTTTCCCTCAGTGTTTAATCCATATTCAGAATTCTGCAAGTTCCAGTTTGTACAGGAGGCTTCAGTTCTTCATGTAGATCCAATCTGGAGCAAATTGCCAATTTTGCAAAATTAAACAGGAGTCCAATAGCACATGAAAAACATTCATTCCAGCATACACATTTTGAAGTTAGAACATAAGAGAAGTTATGCTGGATCAGGCCAGTAGCTATTCCAGGCAACCCTCTGTGTCACACAGTGGCCAAAACCCAGGTGATAACAATAACAACAACAACAACAATAACTATCATCATCATCATCATCACCATCACCACCATTATCATCATTATTCCATCATACCAGTTGTCATTGGAGCCCTTGGAGCAGTGCCTAGAAGTCTGAAGAAACACCTGCACATTCTGGGCATTGAGCAAATAACAGTGTTGTCTGGAACATCAAGAATCCCTCAAGGAAAGCAGAAGTGGTTGGCAGCCCCACTTTCCCTTCCACTATAAGGATGCCAGTTTCTGGGTGAGACCTGGGGATCCCCTGGAATTACAGTTGATCTCCATACTACAGAGATCAGTTCTTCTGGCAAAAATGGATGCTTTGAATTGTGGACTCTTGTATCCCACAGAGGACCCTGGGCTCCATCCCCAACCTGGGTCTGGCAACCCTAACCTCCGTCCCGTACCAGTGGCCAGAGGGGACTTGGCAATGGTATCCTACTGTCAAACCTTACTTCACTCAGTTTGCCATGGATGATGGGGGAGGGGAATTCCCTCAGTGGGGTATGTGAGTGTGGGGTGTGTGGCTGCACTATCGTAGATGTGTTACTCTTCTGAAAAAGCCTTTCTCTTGGTCACAGAGGAATGTCCTTGAATCTTCTGGTGTTACCGAAACTCCTCTAAGGATGGTTCCGGGAGCTCAGATCTGCTTTATCTACAGCAGAGGGCTGTTATGCTGAGGTCTTTGGACTAATTGTATACAGAGGTCAGATTGCAGAATGAACGCTCCTATTTCCCAGGAATTGAGACAACACGCTAGGTTTAATGAATAAATGTTGCCTTTACTAAATAGTTCTCAAGCACACATAAACAGATACACTCCCACAGTCTCACAAGATTCCTTTAGCTTACAATAGTTACAGAAAACAGTAAGCATTGAAAATAATAAATTCAGACAAACAATGAGGAAGGACACAGAAGGGTAGCATTGATACTCATCTGATTCAGAAGGGATTCTTCCTCAGTGTGGAAATCAGGAATGAAAGGTCTCACCAAGGGATTCTTCTCTCACACGGGTAGACAACAGTGTTCCCTCTAAGCTGAGTTAGTGTGAGCTAGCTCATAGTTTTTTAGCCTCCGGCTCACACATTTTTGTCTTGGCTCAGGAAGGATGGCTCCAGAGCAAACAAATTTATGCAGGACCCAAATCTCTCATTCACAACTTTAATGCCAGGAGCTCACAAAGTAGAATTTTTACTCATGAGACTCCACAGCTTAGAGGGAACATTGGTAGACAAGCCAACCACGTGTATGTTTTCTTGGTGTGCACTTCCAAGAAAACCCGAGAGAATTGCCTGCAGCAGAGCTTAGGTTGCCTAATGTGGAAGGGGGGTGTTGTCTCGCTAGCTTGCTGGCTAGCGGCTTGCATCTTAAGTTGCAGAAAGGTGGGGGGGTGAGCTAACCCTAACCAGAGAAACAAAGGCTGTGTTCCTCTTTTTAAAACCTACTTTTGTGGGTTTGGCTTAAGGCCAATCTATCCCTAAGAATCCGTCCCCTTTCTATCCCTATAGGTGGACACAGAGGTCATTTCAGGGGGGAACGCGGAGGATCGCAGTTCCCCCGGGTGAGGTGCAGGGGGGCAGAACACATGACAAAGCCCCACCCCCTGCTTCTGGCCGCCCCGCTTCCAGCCCTCATTCAGCCAGGAGGAGGCAGGAGAAGAGGGAGGGTAAGTTGCTTCCTCCCCGCCTCTCCCCACCCCTGCCTGCCTGGGGCCAGGGAGGGCCTTGGCGGGGCTTCCTCACACTCCCGCCGGCCTTGCAGGTCCACCGCCGGGCCCCTGATGTCAGGGGGTGTGACATATGCTAATGAGTTATGCTAATGTGTTCCCCTAGCTCTTTTTCTACAAAAATGACCCTGGGTGGACAGGTTGTGACGCTATACCTAGCAGGGAGGGGGCAATATTCAAATCCTAGACCTAACTTCAAAGGATGGCCATGTGGTGAGGTGTCAAGCCATATTCCCATGGCAACCTTTTATTTGCAGATCGATGGCTTGCTCCAAGCAGGCAATAACAGGATGTTTTTCTTGTGATGCAGACTCAAATAGTTGGAGTTACGTGCGATTTCCAAGGTCCTGTAATAGTGGAAAGCTCGTTGTTTTCTCAAAGTCTCCAAGCTGAGCTCCATGGTGAATGCCTTCTTTATGCAGAGGCATGCAGGGAAGGTGTGGGTATGCACATGTCCATTAGCATATGCAGCACAAAGCTGGCTCCTTGCAGCTTCAGGTGCAACATGAGAGGCAGAGCAGGCAAACCCAAGGCACAGCATTTCCCACAGCCCACATACACACAAGCAAAGACACTTTACAGACATACAGCATCAGCACAAATAATACATTTAGAAACTCACATGTTAACACTGGTGCCAGCTTGCTCAGTAGATAACGGGATCATATATTTCCCATGTGAAAGGGGGGTTAGAGATGCTGGAGCGAGGAGGTGTGAATGTGACGTATGAGTGGGTCTTAGGAGGGGTTACATTTGAATTACCTATATCTTTGCCTGTGCCCATCAAAATCTTTGGAACTGACACAGTACTGTTAAGCTCTGGAACTTGTTTATTTCTCAATGAAGCCTTTCACTGCCAAAGACAGTGTGGATGAGAGTAACTTGCCCAGGAGTCTGACACCTACTGCCTTTTGTCCTCATCAAGATTCAGTAAGAAGATTTCCTGGAGCTGGCAAGGTTCTCAGCATAAAGAACCAAACCTTCCCTGGTAGATGTGAAATACGGGAGTAGTGATTTCAGGCTCTAAGTATCATGATGAGGATGATCTAGTTTCCAGGGTCATTACATGTTACACCATTAATTCTTATGAAACAGACAAACAAAACAGCAATCAAGCTTTATGCAGCAATCTTTCTTGTTGCACTTAATTTTTATGGAGTCGACATAAAGTCATGTATATTAACTTGTTAATTTATTTAAAGAGTGTATTTATCAGAAGTGTAAGGTTCCCAAATTACAAACAATAGATCTCACAGGGTTTTGTTTTGTTTTTTTGGATGACTCTACATATACACTAAAATACATATAGACAGTTGGGGTTGAAGGTAGAATTCTACGTGGTTTTGTTAGGAAGCCGTCAATGTTTCCAGTCCATTTTTTCAAAGCCCACCCAGGAAATGCAAGGGAAATTAGTCATGGCTCTGCCCAGAGCCAACTGGATGTCTTTGTTTCTCAAGCTATAGATGATGGGATTCATGACTGGGGGCAAAACTGTATACAGAACAGCAGCCAACAAATCCACAGTTGGAGACGACAAGGCTTTGGGCCTCATGTATGAAAATGAAGCAGTGAAGAAAAACAAACAAAAGATTGTCAAGTGGGGAGTGCAGGTAGAGAAAGCTTTTTGCCTGCCCTGAGCTGACTGAATCTTGAACACAGCAGAGAAGATGTAAGCATAAGAAACAAATATGAATGTAAAGCAAAATGAGCCTAAGCTAAGTATACTGGCAAGAACAAGGCTCATAGCAGTTGCTGTATCAGTGCAAGATATCTTTAATAACTGAGGGATATCACAGAAATATTGTTCAATAACATTGGACTGACAGAACTGTAATGAAAATGTGTTCACAGTATGTACCACTGCAATGGTGACAGAGGTGACCCAAGACACAGCTGCCATTTGGAGGCAAACATTCCAGTTCATGATCCGCTGGTATCGTAGAGGATGGCAGATGGCTGCATAGCGGTCATAAGCCATGGCAGTGAGAAGGAACAGCTCAGAACTTGCAAGCAAGATCACCAGGAAAACCTGAGCGACACATCCAGAGAATGAAATCTGCTTGCTGTCCATCAAAGAATTCACCATGGATTTGGGAACTGTAGTTGAAATGTAGCAGGCATCAGCAATGGAAAGGTTGACCAAGAAGAAATACATGGGACTGTGAAGGTGGTGATTCTGGGCGACAGCAGCAATCAGGAGAAAGTTTCCCACCAAGGCCATTAAGTAAATGGAGAGAAAGAACACACCATGTACAACCTGTAGTTCTCGAAGATTGGCAAATCCCAGAAGGACAAATTCTATTGCAGTTGTTTTGTTCACCATTTGATTACTTGGACAAAGTCTGTGAGGAAGACAGAAAACATGCTGTCAAACTGATGATTTTATTAGAGTTAGCATTTAAGGACATGTATCTAAACCTTTTTCAGAAATAAGAAAAATAATTTGTCTCCTGTTTCAACATTATTATTATTTTTTTGCTTTCAATTCACAACGGATGCATGGCAACCCTATGGGGTTTCTAAAGAAAGAGACATTGAGAGGTGGTTTACCATTGCATGCCTCAGCATTACAACTCTGGTATTCCTTGGTGGACTCCCATCTAAATGCTAAACAAGGTCAATCCTACTTAATGTCTGACATCTGATTTTATTATCCATTTTTAATATGACATTTTTATTTACCTGACTTTCCCCAAGCCTTTCTTTACTGTCTTGCATTGGTGCATATTTCATAAAATTTTAACATTAAAGTCCTAAACAGAGTTACACCCTTCAATATCCACTGATTTCAATGGGCATAAAAGGGTATACCTCCGTTTGAGATTCCACTGTACATTTTTTAATTTTCATTTCCTATTAAAACATGTCTGCACAATACTTTTTCACAAAAGAGAGTAAAACATATTACATAATGTCTGCAATGGATTCGTACCATGAACACTGAAGAATAATAATTATGATTTCATGATGGACCACTAATGAAATTATTCTCTAACAAACTGATCCTAGGCAAATAATTTTGTGATTCCCACAGAGTTCAGTAGGGTTTATTTTCAGTAAGTATGCATAGAATTTCCAGATTATCATGTGCCACACAGCGCAGGACAAATTCACATGAACTTGAATAGGCATAACTGTCTATCTTAACGACAATGATAATATGAAGATAGTTTGTACAATGATAATTTCTTGCGATGTGCCCTTGGTGGAATATTTATTTCAGTGAGTTACCAATACCTGAAGATGCCTTATGTAGTTCAAATTACAGTTTTCCCCTCCATGATCCACTACTCCGAAGACTATTGCATACTATTAGTCAAAGGATGTTTTAACCCATCCTCATAATCTAGCATGTACAGATTTATCTGCATCCTTCCCTGTCTTCTTCCTAGATTTGTAAAAGAACAGCACTGCTGGAAGACCACCAAGAAGCCCGCCGATGGTCGCCGATTGCCCGGAGTGCCGAGACTGCGCCTGAGCCGCCAAGAAGGAGAGAAAAGCCACCGTCCTGGTGCTGCTAGGTAACCCCTCCCCGCACAAATTGTGGCCCTAGTTAGGATTCGACTACAGACGTAGTCTAATGTAAACCACTCTGAGACCCATTAAGGGTCATGGGCGGTATAGAAATCACATGTAAATAAATAAATAAATAAAATCAGACCAAAGGTCTATCAAGCCAGCATCTTGTTTCCCACAGTGGCTCACCAAATGGTCCAGAATGCCCTCAGCATGGGTACAAAGCCTCCCCTACTGCTGCTGCACACCAGCACCTGGTCTTCAGAAGAACTGCCTCCTGCAAAGAGATCCCATGGTGCTTTCCTCTCAACTCCCATCGTAGAGTTGAAAAAACAACTGGTCTACCCACCAAAACTGGGCATCAGTATTATGGATATTTGATAAAATAAATAGGAATCTTGTCTCACAACTAAGGCTAACACATTTTTGTTCTAGCACAAGCTTTCCTGAACTACAGCCCCATTTCATCACAAAGTACTATAACAAACTCACACACCTGTCTCCTATGGATATTTGTTGATTCACAATTGTCCCCCCAGATTCAGCCCTGTGTTCATCTCCATCCATTTCCACCCACCTTTTGCCCCTTTTTATCTTTCAATAAAGCTTTGGTGTACTGTTTAACATTCAAAACTCACACTCACCTTTCAAAACATTTCAAAGTGGAATCATGAGATTTCCCCTTCTTTCAGGTGTTTTGTTAGGGCAGTAAGATGACAAGGCTATATTTAGGAGTTGCTTTCTGCTGTACTTTTGTGGCTGTTTGAAGAAAGTACTCTCAGTGATTTTACATATGTTTGTATCTGAGTCCCAAGAGATACACCTATATCAGGGTCATGGGAAATGTGTGAGGCATCTGCAGGTTTCCCCCCCTCTATGTTATAAATCCATGAACTTCAGTGGAAGAGTTTAACCATTTCCCTAC